ATATATAATAATTTATTAAATCTAAATATCTTATTATAATAACAAAATCTAACAAAAATACCTACGATATCTTAGGAACATCAAAGGGTATAAATATTAAATCTTTTCTCACTGGAGCAATATGATATTATACTTACATATTGTTTCGGTTTTTGACTGTACGACAAAAGTATGAATTTAAAAAGACTTTGTCGTCGGAGATGGCTGGTATTAATTATTAATAATTATAATTTATTAAATTCACAAACTCTAAATATAAGCATAAAGCATTATCATTGGGCTAGATGGCTATGAAGGAGAGATGGTCCGTTTAAATACATCCAATATTTAATATATTGCATTAGACGTATTTTCACAGAAAGTAGTTTAACTTTTTATCAATTTGCAGAAAGCTTAGCTTTTCGTCATAGCCAAAAGAAAAATGTAGAATTTTCATACTTATTTTATTTAGGGGTAAAATATCTTTAGATTTAGAATATTTTTGGTGAATTAAATATTTTGTTGTTTTTCAATACGTAGGTTATAATGTTTGGACCTTTAAGCCCCATATACTCGGATATATTTGAACCTTAAGACCTATTTAGACCTTTAAGGCCCGTATATAGTTAAATTTTTTTCCTGAGTAAAAAGGAAAAGGAACGTAACGGCGGAGAGGCGCTATAAATTCGGGGACCATCTTATGTCCAGTTTGATTAGTGATGGCTACATTAAATTGAGGAATGATGGTCGATTTTTATGATTGCGTATAGCCATAGAGTAGGTATTTAGTAGGCATGTATATAGGCATATAATAGTAGGTATATAGTAGGCACATTCATAGTCATATTGTAGGTATATAGTAGGTACATATATAGGCATATAATATGTATATAGTAGGGTGATTGCAAGCATATATATAGGTATATCGTAGGTTACGTAAAAAATTTAAAAAGTGATAGAAAAAGTTAAATTATAAGGCATATTTCGATAAACCTCAGCTTAATATTTTCAAATCAAAAACTCTAATTACGAAATCTTTGGTTTCGTTAATAGTCTTTGTTTGACTTCGTAATTATAAAATGAAATCTAATAAAAAGAAATCTGAGCTTTTTAATTACAATATTCGAATCACTATTTTAAAATTTTTAAGGATCATATGAAACTTACATGTCATACTCTACAGACTCAGAATTTTTGCTCAGATGAACAGACTCAGATGAAATACCGGCATATTTGCTGCGGAGGATAATACAACGGCACAACTAAAAATTTGAAAAAGTTTTTTTTTTTTACGAAAAATCGAGTTAAATTTAGATATTACATTTAATTTTGTTTATTAGATAGTTTTATTTTATTTTCCCTAATAAAATTCATTCTGTACAAGTTATCATACATTTTTCAAGATTAAAGACATAAAATTTCTTATTTTCTGAATTTTAACTTCATTTTATACAATATGACATGCGTTATTTTCCGTATTTTAACTTCATTTTTCCTTTACTATATTGGAACACCAACTGACCTCGGGATTAAGAAGAGAAGGCCACAGGTTTGTTTTCAAACAATTGTTTCATATATTCTCAATATTTTGTTCCAAATATGTTTAGTAAATGTATGTGAATTTTAAAAATGCATACACATCTCTTGTATTTCTATTCCTAGCAACTTAGTTTCGATTTGGAAAAAAAACTGTGGTTATCTATCTTAGACCTACCCTAGATAAATATCAAAACTAGTTATTTTGCATGTTTTTTAGCTAAAAACAGAAAAGATAGAAAATGAATATAAATAGTTTGTGTTGCATATAAAAAAAATGCTCACTAATAGACTAAATATTTAAATATGAACTTCTTAATATTTTTTATGTTACTTTGATAGAATCTCGGTGATAGTTAACCTCTAAATGGTTTTTCTTTCAAATTCAAAAGATTTCACATTCAAAAACTAATGGTTAATCTCCACAGACAAATTTTAAAAAAGAAGTTCTCAGACAATTTGAGCGAAAAAACTTTTCTTTTTAAAAAAAGAACACTTTTCTCTTATTACTTAAATTGAAAAGACACGTTTTACATTTCAAAGCAGATGGAGAACACCTACTGAATATATTATGCTAACTTACTTCGAGTTGAAAAAATATTTAAGAAGTAATCGAAGCCAAGTCCTACCAAATTTATTTATACTTTAGCGTTACCAAAAGGAACTGAATATTTCTATATTAAATTTTGAATATTTGGCAGCGTAATACTAGAAAACAACAATGATTTGTCTTGACTAAAACTTTTTTATTTAAAACTTTTTTATTTAAAATTTTAGAAAAAGGTCAACTTATCTTTTTTTGTAAAGAAAAATAATACTTGATTCATTTATTTCAATACTTTGAAGGTAATAAAATAAATTTTAAGTTGTGTACCATTGAATTCAATAAGTAATAATGAATTCAAGTATACAAAGATGAAATGATATTCAATAAGTATCTTTATGAGTTATAACTTTTAATAGTTAAAAAGGATATAAAATGCAACAAGTTTTTTTCTTTATTTGCAAAGTTGGAAAAGAAAACAAATGACATCAAATGGTTACAGTAATTTCCAACAGAAAAAAAACATCTTTTCAACACAATCATCATGGTATTTACAATGTCAGAAAATAATATCTTTGCATTGCTTATGAAATATCACTGCAAGATATTTACAAAGAGAAATTTCGAATATTAAGCTTACTGATAAATACATATATTATTAAAATTCAGCAAACTTATTAAAGAGTTCAGTTTTAACATAATTTAAGCCCCAAATGCAGGTCATCCAGCTTCAAAGTCTGTAACAAAGGCTTATTTAGCTTAATGCAAGAGTTCGCTTGTCTTTTGTGTTGAATTTTAAGTTTCAAGGATAAGAGGAACATTAAACAATACTACGCGGATTGAATGTTATAAAATAATCTTAGGAAGCAGTTCACAAGTTAAACGGTGCTAAAAAAGTCATAGCTGATGAAAAAAATATTCTTTTATTTTTAAATGTACCATATAGAGTAAGTTTAAATTATAATTATTCCTTACACATGTAGAATTAAAGCGTCATATTTTCAACTTTCTTACATAAGAGGCTGTTCTATGTATTCAAATTCTTTGAATCAGTTCTTACTGTAACTTTGCGAGGGAACTTTTTTCTCGAACCAAATAATAAGAAGTAGTATATTGTAATAAAATACTTTGTTACATTAATGTTAGTTAGTACGGTAAAAATTTTCCCGTATACCATATTAGCTTGGAGTACTTATAAATAAATAGCATTGCAAAAAAAAAAAGAAATGTGTGTTCTATTTGCTTTTGAGAAAGTGCTATTTTCCCTTTACATCAAATGAGGAAATTAAATATCATTGTAAGAAACTACTGTAAGAAGTATTGAAGATAGAACGGTTAAAAAAATCAGTTTTAGAATACTCGAGAGATCAGCTATTTGCCAATGAATTATCATTTGCAAACAAACGTATTTGAATAGTAAAAAATCGAGTTCTGTTTGTATCTCATAAAAAGTCAGTACGAGGATTCTATGTGTTTGTAAAAAGGCAAATTTTACCGCTGAAGGGAAAATTAAACGTTATTGGTAATGGTAATTGGATAGATATTATTTTATTATTAAAAAAAATTGAATAACATTGTGTTTTAGGAAATAGGTTTTAGATTGAAGGGCAATAATACCCAGTCAGAGTAAATTAAGATTCTCGAAAAAGAACCCTTCGGAACACAAACGTCATTGTATGATAAGTTATCGAGTTGAGTTTAGATGGAATGGTGAAAAAAGTCAGTGTAACGGTTTCACGTGCAACGAGCAAAACTTTTTAACCTACAAATAAAAAAGGCTAGGATAAATATTATTTAATGATAAAAGATCGGATTCAGACAGAATAAAAAAAATGTAATTCGATTCGACATATTACTGCATAAATATTTTGCTATTGAAATAATGCGATGAAAATAGGGAAATAAGTTTCAAGACAAAATATAATTAATCCAAGAATTTTATGTACTCAAAGAGCTGATTCCCTCGATTTTAAAAAAAAATAATTAAGGAATCTTTTTAAAAATTTACAGAAAAAAAATGAAACTTAAAAGTGTCAAGATCTGTTCAATTCACACTTTTAATATAAGCTCATCAATATCATTTATATCCTATGATTTCATCACATACACAATAAACTTTTCTTCCCTCACTGGTTGACTAGATACACTTTTTTGAAGAAACCTAACGCAATTAAACCTAAAAAAAGAGAAATATTTAAGTTAAACATTTAGTAACCAATGATAGATAAATAAATCATAAAAAAATTAATCCTGAATTTTAAAACATATTAGTCAAATGTAATGCGGAAAACTAAACGTGATTTTTTTTATAGCAACACTATTTGATCTGTCTTTTCCCTCTGAAAAATGCGTAGTTTTCTTCACTTGTTTTAAAGAAATGAATTTTTAATGTTCAATGTCTTGTTACTATATTGGTCATTAAAGGTTTTTCATCCCAAAAATTAATTTATAGAGATTATTTTCACAGTTGGTAATAATAGGCCATCTTATCTTTAATTACGTATACATTAATTGATCCCCTTTTTGAAGGTGTTTATTATTATTCTCTCTTCGAACGAAATTGAATACAAGGTAGAATAACTCCAATAGGAAGGAAAACCTTTAAATGAGTGGTAAAAGTACGAATTAAAAAATAATCCTAAAAATCTACGAATTATATTTTATACATCTATTGTTCATTCTTAAATTCAAATTTGTCTAAATTTTATGTTTTTCACAAAAATGCATACTTTTACCTTCAAAGCTCTTTTTAGTGCTGATGGACTAAATTCTCGAATAAGCACTATTTGTTACACCCACAGCACTTGTTAAACACACGCTCTCCGAGTTCGGTATACCTTGTTCTTCACTTTCCCTTTCAGCACTAAAACTATCTTCTATGATTTTCTGAACAGTTGACGAATCCTTTAAATAAAACAGTCAGTGAACTTACATTTAAGATGTAAGATTTAAGAAAACATCTTAATAAGTATTACTTTCATAAACACTTGAAAGTGCTAAACTACAACGTAACGCATGATGTATCATAGATTTTACTATAAAGGGTTTTGATAATCAAATAAAAATGTTCATATTAACACAACGTAATGCATAATCTAATATATATAATTCTTCTACGTGGTTCCCAAATTTTGGCTGTATTTCTTTTCCGACGGTGGCAACGTTTGCTTTGTTTTGTTTAAGTTACTATTTCTCTTACCCGGCGAATCGATCAATGATTGGCGCTAAAAATGTCACATGCCAAATCTAGCTGAGGTGACTCAACATATAGCGCTTTTCTTTTAACAT